AAACGGTTTACCAAATATTTAACAAAGCATTATTGTTTAAACTTTGGAAGGATATAGTACTAATTATATCATTTAAACAAGCTTAACAATTTATTTACCAATGGGTCGTTTACCAAATATTTACTGGTAAGCATTTACTTGGAAGATACACCACTTTCACTTATCTTATGAGTTTGTTTGTGCTTAGTATCAGTTGCTATGTTAGTCTCTTAAAATGATGTGCCAAATCTTAGAGCAGCCAATGGTGTATATTGCCGAAATTATATCTTGTGACATCACAATCTCTTTGTTTTTAGTTCAGGCACTGGACGTAATGTATTCATTTTTTTGAAATAGATAAGATTTACATATCATAAACATTTACATGAATTTGCCTTGGCCTTCATTTCTTTTACTAACTGTATTATGGTTCTTTACTTACGCGAGTGTGTGGCATGATTAGTTGAATGTCGTTAGATGTATTCATATTAATTTGTAACTAATGGGCGGATTTCAGAAGTTGGAAAATCATCTTTGAAGATGTATCCTTCTTTGAAGATAATATTTTTGGATGTACATGTAACAATGAAGATACCTGCAATATAAAAGCTATTGTCTCATAACGAGGTTTTGTATTTCTCCACAATGTAATATACATRAATTTATTATCTTTCATACAACTCAACAACAAGGATGTATTTCATTGTTTTGATGTAGGGTTTCTCCATAGTTTGTTTGATTTAAGCGTTAAAAGATAAATTTTTAACCTTTTATCTATGAAAAGATGGTTGATTGCATCTTGATCTATTCATACTCTCTGTTTGTCGATTTCTTTCAGGTAGATGTTTACTTTTTAATCGATTCATACTTTGTTTATAGATTTCTTTCAGGTAGATGTTTACTTTTTAATCGATTCATACTCTGTTTATCGATTCAGTCTCTCGATTCAGGTAGATGTTTACTTTCTGTTTATTGATTTCTTTTAGTTGCCCTCTGGGGTTCATCTGTTTGATCGATTTCTTTTTGGATTTGATTCATACTCTCGAGTCTCGATTCAGATACCCGTTTTCTATTTGATCGATTTATGTACGAACCATATTTAATATTCATAATCTGCACAAGCCTTGCTGCTTTCTTAATCTGCACAAACCTTACTGCACATGCATTTGTATTTAATCTTACTGCACATACATTCATGATTAACCTTAATATATTTGACAATCAACCAACGTACATTTTGATAGGTGATTATCCAGTTTGTTGGAACTGGTGAATTATGCAGGGAGGTGATCTACCCTGGTGCTCTCAATATTTATACCATTTTTGGCACTCTAGAAATCAACTCCGGCTTTAAAATCCAAATCTGAGTAACATTTTCCTGATCCAAGTAACATTAAAGCCTATACACAATTCTAACCTCAACCAATGTTCCCAAAAGTTACCTGCATTTTAGAAACCTGTATCATGGTTGGAGACAACCATTGTAGAAGGCCTTGCAACTGAGGGGGGGAAGGGTAGGGAGATTGTGCAGAACAACCCCTGTATTGCCTCAATCAGAAGCATAAAACAGCTCCGGGATGCCCTCATAAAATCAAACATGTGTATTTTTTAATGATTTTTTTTGTTGTATGATGTTGCTGTTTTTTGCTTGCATCAAATGTCACTGCCTTTTMTTTTTGCTGCTATTGTCTGGTTTAAATGTTGTTTTTTGCATATATCAAATGTTGCTTGTGTTTTTGCTGCTGTTATTTATTTCCTACTTTTTATGCCTTGCTTTTAAACGTGATAGTGAGTAGCTCTTATTCTTTAAAGTAATCTGTTTCATGCCTACTTTTATATGCTTTTAAACTTGAAAGTGAGTAGCTATTTTGTTTAAAGCAATCTATATTATGCACCCGTTTGTTAAAGGTTATTCTAAATTAAACCCCAGTTCATAAATAAACCATTTGAATAGGAATCTTATTAAAACTAAATCCACATTCTACACTTTGTGATGGTTGTTTTTTTGCTTTTCATTTATCGTGTTTTGTTGTTATACAGATCCTAAGAAGTTGGCTTCTTGCTTGTAAGTGCACTTTTATTGCAAAGGTTGCTCAATCAAGTTAGGAACAATTAGTGATAAGACACATTTCTTTTAAAAAAATGGCGAGTAAGAAGATATTACTTTTTGTTCTTATCAAGAGATCAAAGACAATTAACCACATTAATTTTTTGGCTATAAAATCACGACAGTTTCTTATATATCTTGTCTTTGGATTATAGTTTGCTTCTTTGGTTATACTACTTGCCCCTCATACATTGAAGTTGATCTGCAGGATGGGTATGTTTCAGACATGGCTAAAGCTCTTTTGTTTTCGCTTTTTATAAGTATCTAGCAGATCGTTGGTTTTAGTTAGCGTCCAGCTTATGGTTTTCTGAATGATTATTAACAATGATCTTCATTTTCTGCAGTCATTTTGTCCCAAATATAATGATAGGTGCTCAGGTCATTGAGAAAGCACACCAAGTAAATCCTTTGTTTTTTTTCTCCCAACTTTCCCCCTTAGCTTCATGGTTGATTCATGAAGGAGTAGCTTATACCTCTCTCATGCAGGACATATCTAGATTATCCTTATGGTAACAAATCCTGTTGATTATGTTGAAATATTTGGAAAAGTTGGTGTATCAGGTTTCATGTTGAGGGTCGAATTATTATGTTATCTGATCACCCTATTCATTCCTTGCGACTGCAGTTTAGATTAATCATGGTTAGAGAAAACATTGCAAATATGAAAGGGTGTTTGATTGGAGGATTGCACCATTAGAACACAGCTGCTGTAAATGCAAATTATTATGTTCCAGCTTTTGTTTTCATTTTTTGTTTCTTTATACATGAGAATTTGTATGAATTGATAGCAGCTTTTCTACTCCAAACACTTACCTGGTAAGTGCTTACCAGTAAAATTTAACATTATTATTTATTTACTGGATAAGATTTTAGTCCATCAAAACGGTATCGTATGCATCAATTTACCTGATAAGTGCTTATCGTGGTAAGAGTCGTCGCCTTCACTTACCGGGTAAGACTCTTGGTCCTTGTCTCGCTCATATCGGATAAGATTCTTAGTTCTTACCATATTCATCCGGTAAGTTACCTTACTTGGTAAGAGTTTATCCGGGTAGGCGTTCAGTAAACGGCTCGTAGTGAATAGCCAATTTAGTAACCTTACTTGGTAAGAGTTTCTCCATCAAATTAATTTTACTATGTTAATAGACCCAATTTAGTTATTAATATCCTATGTTAAATTATTTTCAAGGAGATTCCTCGTTATTCTTTGGAACTTGTTTAACATAGCATCAAGGAGAAATGAGTTAGGGGCTCTTTACCTAAACACTTACCCAGTAAGCACTTACCGGTAAAATTTAAAATTACTGCTTATTTACCGGGTAAGATTTTATACAYTAAAACGCATTGTATGCAACAATTTATCCCGGTAAGCGCTAACCATGGTAAGAGTCCTTGTCTTACTTATCGGATAAGACTTTCGATTCTTGCCTTCGCTTTTACCGAGCAAGTTTTTTAGACCTTGTCATATTCATCCGGTAAAATAAAGTGACTTGGTAAGCGTTTATCCGAGTAAACGTTTGGTAAACGGCACTTGAGAATTGTTTGTCTTGATTTTTTAATGAATCATTTTCCGTTTATTTGCTCATATAATAATCTCCCAACCTCCGGCCCATCCCAAATATAAGGAAGAACTATTAAGCATGATGGTGACCACCATTCTGGTTATTGTTTTTAATCAAAATTTACTTCCATAAAAGAACCAAAATGAGCATTAGATGACCTTTCTTTAATAGAATACAAATCTTAGTTGGAAGCTATCAACTAATAAGATTTTGGGCAAGGGCTTCAAACCAACACTTGCTTGGAGTGTATTTTCTATTCAATCTATAAAAAAATTTATATCCATCCTTTTTCGTATGATAATCAATAAAACTCTAAAACAAACAATTTAGAACCTAGACGAATTCCAATGTCCTTATAGTTATTTTCTGCAAAACAAACTTTATGCGTTGTTTTGACAGAATTCAAGTATCTTTGTGTTACATCTAGATGAATTTTGCATCCCGCAATATTACGCGGGTATACAACTAATATGTATATATATATACTCACTCAATGATCATATGGAGAAATGGTGTTCAACGGTCCAAGCATTAAAAGCTTAATTTTGGTCTTTTGAACAAGTGGGATGTGGGTCAAAATTGGTAATAGCAAGTGTATTTCGACAATTCTTACACGTTACTCATATCGCACAAAAAAGCACCACTTTCCATTCTACTTGTATGTGTTCAGCTAGCCGTCAGCCGCTTGTCACCAGCCGCCATCGTTCATCTTGGGACCAAATTGGACTGTTCTGCATAGAATGATACGGTGGTACGTGCCACCTGCTTCATGGTTTCGTTATTGGAGGAAAATTACGTTTTTGAACGGTGTCACTGTATTGTTTTGTTAGATGTCAACATGTCAGTTTCGACATATAATTTTCGAAACTGACATGTTAACGCAAGACTTTGATGACTGAGATGGAAAGGGTGTCACTGTATTGTTTTGTTGGATGTCAACATGTTTGGGTTCGAATCCCATTATCGTCAAATTTGTTGTTTGTTAGCTTAAATTTTGGTGTCTTTTATATACCTTTTGTGTTTTTTAAAATATATGTAAGGCGGTGCTCGAACATGAGTCTCTTTTATATAAGGGCGAAAAACCAACCAACAGATCGATACTAATATTGTAAACAAAAAATGAGATACTTTTTTATAGTCAAATTGTGTCATTTTTAAAAAAAAAATTACGAGTCTACCTCTAGACTATTCGTATAACTCATAATTGCATTCTTTATGGCTTACTTAGGTATTACAGACTTATTATTTACAAGTTTCCGACTTATTCTTTAGATAATTTGAGTAATAATATGGTTTAAAAAAGTCAAAAACCATATATTAAAATAATTAAATAACTTTTTTTTATTAAAATAATGGACAAATTGCAAGAAAAGTAACACATTTTAACTTGATTCTTATTTTGGATAACGTACTTCCAAAACTTACATTTTGGTATCTAAGATATAAAGTTTTAAACATTTAAGTAATCGGATAACAGGTTGAAGCATCAAACGGTTATCATGCTTATGTGGTATCCAACTCAGTTTTTATGCTATTCAGCCCAATTTTATCCCATCACTCTCCATATCAGCATGGTAACCGGTTAATGCTTCAATCAATCACTCAGGTATTTAAATGTTTAAAACTTTACATCTTAGGTACCAAATGGAAGTTTTGAAAATACATAACCCAAAATAGGAATCAAATTAAAGTATGTTACTTTTTCATGCAATTTACCTAAAAATAATTTCAGAAATTGTAAGTATTTATACCTTTTAGTTACATCCTCATTATTATTATTATTATTATTATTATTATTATTATTATTATTATTATTATTATTATTATTATTATTATTTAATTAACCTGGATATCCAACTTGTTATGTAAGCCGACTAATCCCAGGACGACCACCCACTTCACGGGTAGTCCGGAGCCACCGCATTTGAACCTCCGTGGCCACAAGAGGATTTTTATTCCTCCTTAGATTCAAACCTAAGACCTCTAAACACTTTTGACCTTTAAAAATCAAACTCAAACCAATTGAACACCACATTTATGCTTAGTTACATCTCATTCTCATTCTATCAGTTTCAGATGTTTTTAGCTAAGCTTTTAAATTTTACCCATTTCTATATGTTAATAATATAATATAATTAAAATCAACCAAAATAAATAATTGCAGATTGTAATCTCTTTGATTGTGAATTTAGTGCTTGTTAATGTGAATAATTTTGCATTGAATTCAATCAAGTGTCATCTTATAAATTTATTTATTTTTATATAATTTTTAGATTGTTTTAGACCAAGGGGCGTTTTTAATAACCACATACCAAACACGTTTCCAACTTGTTTGAATAAAATAAGTCGCTTAAAAGCAGTTACAGGAGGTAGGGGTCTAGTTATGGATGTGAGATGGTTAAATACAATTTTACTTTATAAAAACTTTCAATTTAGGGTTATCTGTTAAAAACAAGGATAGACAGCATTTTGCTGTTGCACCAAACACAAAAACCATTGTCTCATCGAAGTCCATCATAAAATCATTGCTAATTGCTATAATCCATTTTGATCAGCGATTAGAATTTCTTCTATTTTGACTTTTTATAAGTAATGTTAGACTATATATAGCATTGTATGTTTGGATTTATCCAATAAACAAAACAATAGCTTGTTTTTTGAGCAATAACGCATAGACACCTATTCGGGTCGTTTAAAGTGAGAAAATATGAATCGAAGAAACAACATTTAAATTTTCTCAGTATGTTTTTTCTTTTGCAGGGATTTGTTTAACAGTAAGTCAAGAATTATCTGATCGTTATACAACCATACGTCTTAAACTCCCATTAGGATTTTATCTCCAAGGATTGTTGGCTTACGGCTATGCTCTAAACGCGTAGTTGAACCTGTGTACAATTCATAATTTTTTTATGAATAATTTTATTGGTGAAATAATGATTTTTTGTAAACATGTTTAATTTCTGATATTATAATTTTTAGTCAACATATTTGATTAAATTTACAATGTTTGAATAATAAAAATATTAAAATTAAAAGTACGGTGTTGTAATAGAAATTGGTGATGTTATAATAAAGTAAATCAATGCATTTAATAATTTATAATAATAAATATTTAATATTTTATTAATCTAAAAGGGTATTCGTGTAATGCGAGATACATTTTCATTTTAATGTTTCATTTTATTTTTTATCCATGTCGATATAATACAATTTTATGTGGTTTTGAGAAAACGATAATATTTTTATTTTTGAATAAAATATAAATTTGAAAATATCATACAAAATTTGCAAAAAATATATCAATATTAGTATCAAATTATATAATTAAAAGTTTCTGTTTGTATATTTTTTTAATTCAATTTTTTATTATAATTTAATTTAACGTAACAAATTAACTTAA